TGCATTAATCCAAGTAATAATTTACCATACCATTTCGAATTATTATTATCACTAGTGTTATGATTCGCAGATGACCTGGCTCTTCTATCTCACACGCAACAACAAATGCAAGAGAAGACGACCAGTGTAGCAGCAGCCTCTGCAGCAGTAGGTCTCAACATACACAAAGGAAAAAGCAAAATTCTCCGATGCAACACAACATGCACCAACCGAGTCACGCTTGATGGAGATACCTTGGAGGACGTTAACACCTTCACATATCTTGGCAGCATCATCGACGAGAAAGGTGGATCGGACGCAGATGTGAGGACGCGGATTGGCAAAGCGAGGGCTGCATTTCTACAGTTGAAAAATATCTGGAACTCCAAACAACTTTCAAACAAAACCAAAATCAGGATTTTCAATACAAATGTCAAGACAGTTCTACTGTATGGAGCGGAAACATGGAGAACTACCAAAGCCATCATTCAGAAGATACAAGTGTTTATTAACAGCTGTCTACGCAAAATACTTCGTATTCGTTGCCAGACACCATCAGCAACAACGAACTGTGGGAGAGAACAAGTCAGATTCCAGTGGAGGAGGAAATCAGGAAGAAGCGGTGGAAGTGGATAGGATATACACTACGAAAAGCACCCAACTGCGTCACTAGACAAGCCCTCACATGGAACCCTCAAGGCAAAAGGAAAAGAGGAAGGCCAAGGAACACACTACGCCGAGAAATAGAGAAAGATATGAGAGGAATGAACAAACATTGGACAGAACTGGAGAGGGAAGCCCAAGACAGAGTTGGTTGGAGAAAACTGGTGTGCGGCCTATGCTCCATTGCGGATAACAGGCGTAAGTAAAAAAAAAGTAAGTAATAATTAATCCAAGTAATAATTTACCATACCATTTCAAACTATTATTATCACCAGTGTTATGATTACTATCCTATTACATTTTTGGTACTACTTAATAATATTTATTATGCTGTACACTTCAAACACAGAAATATAAATGTGTTCTTGATACTTATGAACTTGATCTCATTTACTTGGTTCGTCTGTAAACTAAATTCTCCCCCTTTAAAAAAATTCGATTGCCAAGAAAGCAAATACATTGTCCAGTTACGAGTTGTAACTCTTAGTTATAACAATTAATTTACTAAACTTGAACATTTACACGTAAGCATCAAATTATTGGCTAACTACTATAAGTTCAGTGCATTCAAACTTATCTTTAAAACGGAACATTTAAAATGAAATTTAACTCGATTAATTCTTATTAGAAACTAAATATCTGGAATTCTCACTCACTGAATTAAAACATTGTCAAGTTTCATTCGACAGACAGTTAGTTTGCTTCAATGCTACTTCCCAGTAACATATAATGGTCTTCTAAAGTAGTATGTATATATATATCATTTCCGTCAAAATAGGAAAGTATACGATCCTTAGTAAATGTGGTAACTTTAAACGTTCCGTGATCTTGGAACTGCTTTCTTTTAAACATAACTGAAACATCATTTAACCCGAGCCTAGACTAACTGATCTAATCCTCCTCTCTAGAAGAGTGTACACTAACTTTCAATACATGAGCGCTCATATACACATTCTTTTTGCTCTGACAGATAATAGCATGCTTATGAGCAAAGTGTTAATTCAGGTTAGTTGGTTACCAGTGTAAGGATCCAATATATTGAAGGATATGTTTGACCGAATTTAAACATTAGATTGTGAAATTGTTATCCAACAGGTTTTATAGAATTTGATGAGATTTTCTAAAGTTTCAGTAATATAAATTTATTGTCATAGGTTCAGTGTCAATAAACGTTTGAATAAATTTCACTGTCAACTTCAACTTATATTTAATACATAAAAAGTAATCAATTGTATTATGACTAAATCTTAACATCCATTTCAAACGGATTATTTTACTCGGATGAATGTTCTGTTCTACCTTTTAATGGTATTTTGTTTGGGGCACAATGTTTCAATGTTTTTATATAAGCCTCTCTAATAACTTGAACCAAATTGTTTTTTAGTCATCAACAGCTTTGTTTTAATTATCGTTTATACTATCTATCTTAGATAAATTTTGAGTAGTCATGAAACTGAAATACAATCTGTGGTTTAAACCATTTTCAGTGGTTATTTTACCTTTTCATAGTCTAGCGTTGACTTTCTTTTCAATAGAATAATCTGTCGGATATGTCAACTATGTTTTAAGAGTTTACTTGTTTTGTGAATTCAATAACTTTTTGTTTTAATAGAAAAATCATTCATATGGTAAGTGTGATTTTAACAAAAGATAATGAAAAGTTAAAAAAAAAGTTAGCTAATGATAAAATCAATTGATTTCTTTGAATGATATCTGAATCTTTAACATTTTATGTGTACCGTAAATAATTAAAGACCTTAAAAATTTCTCAAATGATGGTAAGCAAACATAATGAAATTATTTGCATCATAGCAATTTTTGTTATGTGATGGGATTGTTCGATTTTGGCACTGATCTACACGCCTCCTATACATGTACTATGTGAGTGAGAAAGCTAACAATTAGTACGAATCCATATCGGCTGATAGAATACAGATACATAAAAACTTATTGATATAATTATATATTTTTGAAACCATGAATCAATCAATAATTGTTAGACCAACATTAGAAACCTGGAAGCACTGAAAGACGGCTGTTTCGTCCTGGTATGGGACTACTCAACAGTGCGCATCCACGACTCCTGCACCCCACAGTGGTCCGATATTTAGGCGTTCGCGCACAATACCGAAGGTCCTGGGTTCGAATCCTGTGGGGTGCAGGAGTCGTGGATGCGCACTGTTGAGGAGTCCCATACTAGGAGGAAACGGCCGTCCAGTGCTTCCAGGTTTCTAATGGTGGTCTAACATTGATCGATTCATGGTTTCACCCACCAATTTCTCTCACCAACTGTTTAGTCTTAAACTACCATATGCATGTGTGTGTGGATTGACCCAGTCTATCAGTTCAGTATTCTTTGGATGGAATGTCTAAATTAATTAAATAAATAATTAAACTGCTCACAAGTCTTAAAATTATTTATTCTACCTTATAGTTCATAAATATGATGTATAATTTTGAGTGCGGATAGTTTTTTAAAAGTTTGAACAATTCAAATACACTAATATTGGATATGAACTATTTAATATTTCACTTGTCTACAACAGAATTCGCAGATTTTCTATTATCATAATGAGCAGAAAAATGTGTCTGTCACATTTAGAGATGCATTACGGAGTTGTGAAGATTGTTAAGTTACACATTTTTTGAAACCATGAATCGATCAGTGTTAGACCACCATTAGAAACCTGGAAGCACTGGGCAGCCGTCTCGTCCTGGCTCAGTGGTCCGATAGTTAGGCGTTCGCACACAATACCGAAGGTCCTGGGTTCGAATCCTGCGGGATGCAGGAGTCGTCGCACTGCTGAGGAGTCCCATACCAGGACGAAACGGCCGTCCAGTGCTTCCAGGTTTACAATGGTGATCAAACATTGGTCGATTCATGGTTTCAAAAAGTGTGACACTTAGAGATGTATGTGAAAGTTGCTTCATCAAGTAAGTAATAAGTAGACTGATAATCAACCTGCTCAAGATACTAGTACAAACACAAAAGTTAGGAATTCATACATATCAGTATAGAAACTAAGCCACGTAAACCTCATTTCATAGAATCACTCTTGACATAAATGACTTAAAAGCACGTCCCCTGAAACTTGATCCATATCTGTTGATCTGTAACTTTACATATTAAATATGTATTGACTAAAATTTATTATTTATTCCTGAATCAAGGTCAGATGTGATCTACAGACTTTAAGCACTTCATTTTTATATCCATCAGAATAAATGTACTTTTATTAGTTAAAATATGTCTTGTAGTTCTGGTACTCACAATAATCTTGTTTTATTTGTTATTAATATTTAAGAAGATCAGTGTGAAAATGTTGCATGTAAACTATTAAACTTTTCTTAAAATACAGTAATTACTCACTTTATTCATGAAAACACGCAATGTTATTGATTTCAAAAGTTTAGTCACATAATGTAAAAAAGCTTACATGTGGGTTTCAGCATAAATTATGAGTAAAAAATTAGTTTGGCATAGTCCAGAAGAATAACTAACTTTTCTGCGTATATTTTCAAACTAATAAAATATCCTAAGTTTGAAACTCAAATAAAAGTATCAAACAAGTCATGCCCGTAAACTGGCATGAATTCTGTAACCATTCTCAGAATATGCCTATATATATTTTATATGTATATATATAGTTTTTAAAAACAGTTAAATTGATTGATTAACTTCAAAAATAGTTTCAGAATTATTAATTCACACCTCAATAGTTTTAGCTTTACAAAAATCGCATTTATTTATGGCGCATGCTAATGCAGAAATCCATGATAAAAATTTATCATAAAATATTTTATTTTAAGTTCATAATAAAAAAAAAATAAAGATGAAATAATTAAATTTTTAAAATTAGCTCGTCACCATAAAATGTTGGAGGATGACCTTGTTAATGAATTATTTAAACCAATTGATTCATTCAATTTTATTCATTCCCAGTTATGATAATTATCACAATCATTTAAAACAAACAAACAAACAAAATTCTTTACATCTTTTTAAAGCAACTAATCCATTAAAATAGGTGTACATATTATGAATATTATTATTTATTTGAATAGTAAGTATATTTTTAAGAAAAAGAAAATTCGTTTCAACAAGTTAAATGCCAAAATGAACATTGAAAAAACAAACAACCATTCCAATGAGATCACAAACAACATGAATAACAATAATCATCATCATGAATTGAACATTGTTAATTCAAAAACAATTGTTGTTTTCAAACAAACAAAACATGAATAAGTATGTATGTATGTATGTATAATGTGTATAATGATGTTTAATTAAAGTAAGAAATACTAATCAAATTAAAAATGAATGAATCTTGCACATAAAAATAAGGAAAATTTGTTTACATGAGACAACATTTATCTGTTGCTTGGTTTGCCAATTGTTGCGGTAATTCAACTACTCTTGATGCAGCATCTTGTATTGCAGTTGGAATAAATTCTTGATATGATTGAAAAGTAAATTTATGAGAAAAAGAAAACGAAATATGGATGAAAGCATCATTCATCATTTTTTAATCGTATTGATTATATCAGTCATATTAATTGTGTGTTGTAAGATTTCATGATAAACATGTATAATTAGCCAGGAGCATACTAGATTGAAGAACTATACATTCTAATGAAATATTTAAACTTTTCCATAAGATATAAGCTAACGTATTTTTTCTTTTGAGATAATAAATGGAAAGATAGATTTCAATCCAATATTTCTTTATAGTTTTCACTGTACTGTTTAATCAAAGTTATTTAAACTCATTAGAATTCAAATACTGTGCTTTGTGACCTGTGTATGTGTTACGCTCATCACCGGGTATGCTTAAAACTATTACAGGTTCACCTTAGTCGATAAACGAGAACGAGACAATGAACCAGTGTCCGGGTAGGCTACTTTGATCCGTTAACCCTAAGGTACTAACAAGAAGTCTTGAAATAGCGTAGAAAGTGTACTCAACAAATACCCAACCAACACACAATAAATCCAAGCACACAAATTGCGTTTATTTATACGCCACAGGGACGTCCTTGAGGAACTCATGAAATAGCACACTAAAATAAAACAGTCACCAATCACAGCCAAGTATTTTCCATGTGGGAAATGTGATCCCAAGGTCAACTGATTAGCCTATGAATAAAAACCGAAATTAAGACATTTATCAGGTGAGTTCTGGGGATCTAACATCCCTAACATTATGTTTCAGCCGAAAATTTTGAAATGAACACTTTTCAACAACAGCTACTATGAAATATTATCTGTTTGATATAACGTTTTGAATACATGATGATGTCGGAAAAGTATTTTATTTTTTGTATGAAGTTAATTAGTTGCGTAAGATAGTTTGTAGAATATAATAATCGTGAAAAAATATCTTTTTTTTAATAGTTCTTTGATAGTCTCTTCTATATTGAACTTAAAACTTTTTACTGTCGCATTTATTTTCATTGGGCATATACCTATCAATTAAAATAGACGGCTAATCTCAAATCACATAGTCTAAAGATATTTTTTCAGTTATCTTTCGAAGCATTCATGAATTATCTATTATCTTAAGATGTATTATTTGTCGAGTACTATCACTAAACACAAACCGCATCAAGAAACAAGTGAAGTGAGAGTTTATGTTGATCAACGTGATTTTTTTTGTTATCTCTTAAAAAATTATGCATGAACATTTTTATCTATCTATCTATATATATATATATCTGAAGTAATTAATAGCCACCCTAACTCGACTTATTACCAACAACAAAAAATCTCAGATTAAATCATATTTTAGGACAAAAATATCTCAAATGAATTTAGCATGATTTTTAAAATCATGCCAAACTTGAACTTACTCATAAATGAGTCTTCTTGAGTAGTAGTAGTAGATCGACGATGTGCATTTAAATTGACATCAGAACATCGATGAGTTGATGATCGTCTTGAGCCGCCTTCTACAGGTCCTACTTCTAAAAAATCTGATTTCTTTTTTAGTCCATACTGAAAATATAATTTTTAAAAAAAAATAATAAAGAATTATACTAATATTAATTAATTATTAGGTCAACCATAAAGTAAAACAAGATGAACTTTATAACTTGTAAATAGATACGTTAGATAGGGTTAAAGTTTTGAGTAATTATTTTCAAGGTTAGATCAATAGATTTTCCACTGAAATATCTGAATCTCCAAATTGGGTTTTATTCATCTAACTTCCTGAATAATCATCAAACAACTAATTCACTTTTTGACGTTTTATAAAAATTGTTATATATGTTAAATGATAAGTCTAGAAATAAAGCATACTTTTGTCAGTAAAGTAAATATAGTGAGTTTTAACAAACATACGATTTGTTTATACACTTTCGATCGAATACATACATTTATAACTAACTAAAGAGATTCATTTGTTGCATTAACTATTTCTTGCTCAGTTGTTAAGTTCAGAATTTTCATTCAATGATGTAGGGAAGGTTATCATCTTTATGGCGTATACTACTATGTCAGGCGTATGCGGCTAGTCTTAACTTTTCTTCCTGGGTTATTTTATTCGTACACTTTTTGAGTTTATCAGTTTATTCGCTTCTAACCGTCATTATTCTCACTTGGTCATGAGTGTCAGTTGCTTGCTACGCCTATCACACGTCTTTCTATAAATAATTAGTTATGCCTCATCGCAGTGAGTTTACCTATTCACTATCTCCATTTTGCTTCGTTTTACTATTTCGCCTCGTATTTTCATGTCTGCCCGCAACAACGATTGTGTGAGATTAACTCATCCAGTTACCTCCATGACATAAACGTGGTTAGTCTAAGTGTGATAAACGGAAATTAAGTGAAAGATATATTTCATAGAGTATTCAACCATTAGTTCGAATCGAAGCCAGATCCTAGGCCACTACACACATTACTTACTTACTTACACCTGTTACCCCCACCAGTTTTCTTCAGCCAACTCTGTCCTGGGCTTCCCTTTCTTGTTCTTGATAGGTTTTCGTTCATTCTTCTCATGTCTTTCTCGATTTCTCGGCGTAATGCATTCCTTGGTCTTCCTCTTCTCCTTTGACCTTCAGGGTTCCATGTGAGGGCTTATCGCGTGACGCAGTTAGGTGCTTTTCGTAGTGTTTGTCCTATCCACTTCCACCGCCTCATCCTGATTTCCTCCTCCACTGCAATCTGGTTTGTTCTCTTCCAAAGTAAGTAGTTGCTGATGATGTCTGGCCAACGAATACGAAGTATTTTGCGAAGACAACTGTTCATAAACATTTGTATCTTTGATGGCTCTCGTGGTTCTCTAAGTTTCCGCTTCATACAGTAGAACTGTCTTGACATTTGTATTGAAAATCCTGATTTTGTTGTTGATTGATATTTGTTTTGGAGTTCCAGATATTGTTGTTCAATTGTAGAAATGCAGCCCTTGCTTTGCTAATCCTCACCCTCACATCTGCATCGGATCCACTTTGGTTGTCGATGATGCTGCCAAGATATGTAAAGGTGTCAACGTCCTCCAAGGTGTGTCCATCAGGCGTGATTTGGTTGGCGCATGTCACTACACACATGATCAACTCAAAAGTCATCTGTAACCACATACCTAGTAGTTTTCGGAATAGACCCTACGCAATAATCAGCAAATGATAGTTTTAACCATTTTTCTAATTGTTGACAATCTACACCTTTGAAACATTCTACTTTTAAAAAATATCATTTCTCTATGAGGATCCTCATTTACTTCATTTAATTTTACAGTGTGTATGTTTATGATGATATTTTTTCACTTTCCTATCACACACATCTTAATTAAAAAAGTGATTTTAGAAAAAGGATAAATTTGACTTATTTACTATTAAACACAATTAATTATATTTTTCAATCACATTACACAATTAAAAACCAAAAGGTGTTCATGACAAATTTATTCAAATGTAAACTGATACATTCACATAATTTCTATGTCTAATAAAATGTTTTCATCACATCAACCCGTTGTCTAGTTTATTCTTCCTGAAAGCTCGAGAAATACCATTTCCTAAGTACTTACTATCTTATTTACTGAGTAAAGTAGTTTATAGAATTGTTAAAAGTCTAACAGCTTTAAAATATACTCAGTAGTGAGCTTACATTTTATCTGTCTTTCTATCCACACATCTATCTATCTATCTATCTATCTATCTATCCACACATCTATCTATTTATCTATCTGTATATATATATATATGCTTCAAACTATGCAAAATAGATCTACAAATCATCTTATCCTATGCTATTCAAATTCTCATTAAATCGGAAAATAATCAACTGATTGTGAATAATACACTCAAAGTAATAATACTACAATTCACATTTGCATAATTACTCCTATTTCTATTTCTTTCTAATATCTACGCATCAAATACATATATATATATATATATATATATATATATATATATATATATGTCTGAAGCATCGAAAAAACAGAATATTATTTTTACAGAATATTATTGTTCTGTAGTATTTATAATTATCTACTTACTATATACAATAAATCAATCGAAAATGAATCTTATTACTTTTAAGCTTTTTTAAAAGCTCAACTTTGTCTAATCAATGTGTAATTAAGAACTCCGTATTGTGTTATGAAATTATGTATAATAACCTAAGATAATTGTATGATTGTTCGTAAATGAAGACTTTCTTCCTAAATCGTTTTAAACAGCTTAAATGTACTCGAGAAAGAAAGCTTCTCACTAAATGAAAATTCATTTTTTTTGTAATTAGGTCAACATTTTTGTAAATATATAACCTGAAAAAATAAATGATAAATCAGAGAATAAAAAAAACCCAAGGGAAAAATGCGAAACAATGTACTCGATTTAATAATGATGCTTATATAGAGCTAAATGTTTTAATATCATAAATACATATAAGTAAAATAATGGAGTTCAACTTCGGTAACCTTAGTTTATTTTGAAAGACTAGTAGACGATAATAGAAGTGTATTTAAGCATTTTTAAATATAAAGGGGTCTTTCCACTAGCGAAATTATATTAATGCATAGTTTGTTACAGAAAATGTTTAATTACATAATCAAATTAGATGGAGGAATTGAAATGTATAACGTGTTAGTATTCTAAAGTTTTTAGATTATATAAATTATCGCTTGACTTTCTGAAACAGACGAATGATAATTTCATGTAATTGACAAACGTATTTATTATTAAAATAGATTTGTGGAGTATGTTTAATTTTTTAAAGTCTAAAAAAGAACTAGTGTACAAGTGGAAAATAAAAGTCAGTAAATAGCTCTTTAATGGTAGTTTGAAACTCCTTTGTATTGTATACATACAAACTCATAAAAAAATCAAACATTTTATGACATCTAGTTCTCGTAACCAAAAACATAGAATTTAGAATATGAAAATAAAATCCATTGGTTACTTTAGATTGATATGTGAAGATTATTTATCGTTTCCGGTTATGTCTGTGACCGTCCCAATAAGAAGAAAATCCACATACTACCACTTCTAAAAAAGATGTATCACTGTTTTTCTCCCCGTCGATTAAATAAATGTCTGTTATTTATGACGAATGTCACTTTAGAAGGTTTGGTGGAGATTGTATATGTTTCCATTACCAACTGAAACTAGATACGCTACTGATACAAAAGTTAAAAATGTGATCTGTCACATTTTAACCGAATCACACAATGACATTTAGTATTGCGTTGATCCATATATGCACAGTATGGTCATTTACCTAACTCATATGATACACTGGTTCATATATATCTACCGATCACAGTGAGTATTAATATATTGTGGTGGTGTTTCGTTCTCTGAGCTGGTTGCTTTGGTTGTGGAACTTTTATTGTTCTTCTTCTGAACAACATCATCAGCACAAACTTTAGGAAGAAGTGAAGTATTCGAATTTCTCCACGTTTAACCTGTAGCTTCTTCTGCTAACCTCGATCTTGATTAGTTGCTGTTGACCTTAAACCTGTCGTTGTTTGCACATTTGTTTTGATTGTATCCCATTTTTGATCTGTTTCTTGATCCTATGTCCCCTATGATTTTTCTGATTGGTTGATAAATTGGGTCAATGTCGATGTGTCTGTTGATTGCTAATTGACCTGAGTGCCAAGCTTCTAAAAATTCTCTAGTGTTCTTTGTCCTCCCCCTATCCAGTATTTCCATATTGTCCTAATCGAATTAATATAAAATGCTGACGTTCAGCATAGAATTTTTCTGCTGTTAAGTGTAAAACAATGTAAGTGTTAGCAAAAAGATACACGTCTAGAATTCTTACTCTTTAATATTTGTTAGCTTAAAACCGATTCACAGATCCTAATCTAATGATTATAAATATTCCTCTGAATAAGTTTGTTTATTGGTAAAAAGAACACATGTATTTCCAACTTTCAAAGGCCATTTCGTAGAAGACCAATTCAGAACAATGAACAAGTCAATCATTTATTTTCAACTCCAAGTTAAATGATTATTCTGAAATAAACTGATCATAATTTGATCATACCTAAAATATAATCACTTAATTCCCAAGATATTTACTGATCTAATCCTGAAACTTGAAATGACAATCTATTCACTCTTTAGTTACGGCATTAACATTTAAGGAGTATTTAAAATTTATACAAAAGTTATTGTATGATGAACTGATAATTTATAGCTAAATATATCTCCTCCTAATTATGTAGGCATTTCTAAATAAAATCACATAACTGATAAACTTATTAATCTTGAATGAAAGTAAATGAGCATGTAAACAACCCTAACACAATATTCAAGCCAATTTGATTAACTTTTTTTTTAAAAAAAATTGAACTTTGAATAAAGTATAATTTGGAAAGTAACACTTTGAATGTATTTACTTTTTAAAAGTTTCCAGTAATAAACATCATTCGTATCACATGTCCAATTATAGTAAATAGTCTCTGAATAAATAAGTAAACAGGCGAAGCAAAGCTCATCATGTAAACAAGTTTTGTGGATTGAAAGTTTTAAAGA